ATTAAGCTGGAACTTAGCACTAACTTTAATCAAGCTGGAACCAAGTACTAATTTTAATTGAGCTGGAACCAAGCAATAACTTTAATTGAGCTGGAACCAAGCAATAACTTTAATTAAGCCGGAACCAAGCAATAACTTTAATCAAGCTGGAACCAAGCACTAACTTTAATTAAGCTGGAACCAAGAAATAACTTTAATTAAGCTGGAACTTAGCAATAACTTTAATTGAGCTGGAACCAAGCAATGAGCCTCAAATTATAAATGTCCACATTTGATATAGTCATTAGAGATGAGTGCGTTCGTTTTTTCATCTATCCGTATTCGTAAACGAACATTTTTGTTCGTTTTTTAATCTTTTGGAAAATTCATTTGTTCAGTATAAAAAACGATATTTTTTTCATGTTTGTTCAAACGAACAATTTAGATTCATGACATATTAAGATCGTTCGAACGAAATAAAATGCTTTTATTTCTTCCATTGTTCGTTTTTTTCTGAATAACACTATCATTTATGAAAAATTTTGTTTGTTCTCAAAAATTTTGTTTAAAAAACAATGCCAATTTCTAGATAAAGAGACTTAGCGTTCAAAACACTATCCAAAAAAAAGTTGAGGCAATATTTCAACGTTGTATATTGTATGATGTAGCTTTAAACTTAGCGTACTCTAGAATAAACTATTTACATTTTCAAATTCTTAAATTTTAAAATATTTCCAAATTCAGAATTTTCAATTTTCTAAATTGACAATTTCGCATATAGTAAGCAATTTTCTTTTTACCTTCATTCATTGGTCATTGGTCAGCTTTTGACAAGGAGTATGGAATAAATTGCAGCAGGACTCGACCCGTTTCGCCTCAATATATGATTAGATTTGATGGACAAATTTCCATTTAACAAGGGAGAGATGTGCCAAAACATTTGTATGTTTCAAGTCGCGAGGAAAGGTATAATTTTTTTTTCATCTTTACAAAAATTTAATATTCAGAATTGAAAATTTATCATCTCTATTTAAATGGAAATTTTTCTATCAAATAAAAAATCTATATTTTTACTTTCAATTCTTTGATGAGTATAACTTCACGTTTATTTAAAAATGCTTATCTTAAGTTCTTTTAGATTAGTTATTACCTAGACTTGACCCTCCTTCCCTGACCATTGTTTAACATTTTATTATTGTTAAAGTTTACTCCCAGATAGAGATGGGCATCATTTTTGTGAACGAACGAAGTTTTTGAGAACGAACAAAATTGTTTTTTGAAACGAACGAAAAAAAATGAACTATTTGATATCTTTCGAACGAACGATTTTAATGAACGACGATTCAGTGAGAAAACTAATGAATTAAATGGAAAATGAACGATAATTTTGAGAACTAAGAAAATAAATTTTTTTGTAACGAAAAGCCAAACGCGATTGAAATTATTATACTGTTCAGGGTATCTTTTTCCTAGGATTACATTTTTATAATTAAATCAAACGTAATTTTAACCGTTACTCAATTAATAGAGGGGAATGTCCGATATTCATCGGTACCCTTAAAAACTTTGCCTGATCAAATATGTATTAGACATCCATGTTTTGTTTTTGAAAAGTTGATCATTTTAATTTTCAGTTTCTCTAAAAAAAATGCCTTGCGCAACTCTTGCTTGAGAAACAATAGAAAAGTTATGTTCTAAAGTTGAATAATGTTTAATCAGACTAAGGTTCCAAGGGTACTCTCAAAAAATAAAAGGCCAATTGAAATTACTCACAATATTTTATGCATGGAGATTCATGCCTATTCATCTATTTATCTATTCATCTATTCATCTATTCATCCTTTCATCTATTCATCTATTCATCTATTCACCTAATCACCAATTCATTTACTTAAGAAAGAATATTTTCTATTTCCCTTTTTTCTATATATCATTTACCATATTTCTCATTAAAAATGATAATAATTTAGGATCCATTAGGCAGATTATTCTTCTTCAGTTAATGATCAGTGATCTATTCTCTCCTTAGGGTTCATTCCAACCTTCCTTCCTTCCTTCCTTCCTTCCTT